TTTCCCAGCTGATACGAGGACACTTGTCTAGATCATTAATTAAAACCCAAACAATGACTTCAGTTTTAAAAATACCTTTTTAAAACTAAAAATCTTCATTCTTTAAGTTGAATTTTGAAGAAAATATTTTTCCCCGGTCATTGGCAGGTGCTGTGGCTGCACACATCTCAACAACCCAGAGACCAGGTACTCTGCACAGATGTTAATAAGGGATGCCTGTTTAATACTCTTGCTGCTCCAACTTGCCCTCATACCATCCAAACTCAGCTGGCCAGTGGTTAACAGCTCCAAAGGTTGGTATAGTGCCGAAAGCAGGGGGGGGTGTCAAAGCAAAGTAGCTTGAAATGCATCATCCAAGCTTTGTAAGGAGCTCTTGCAGCACTGCCGCCTGCCTGGCACTGGTAACCAAAGCTACTGAAAAGTAAAGTGATATTTAAGCATCTCCCAATGTGGTAACCCAAAGGGGAAGAGATCCAGCGCAGCTGAATGTGAACATGCACAAAACTCGAGTTCACTCGCTGGTATGTTTTCTTTTGGGGGTGATGGAGTGCAAAGAGAACAGATTCCAAGATGGGGGGGAAAAAAAAAAAAAGTAATAATAAAAAAAGTCACAAGGAAAGCAAGGGAACCACCTCAACACGGCTGGCTCTGCAGTCTGCAAGCGAGAGATGCTAAACACCTCCATCCTTTCGTCTGAGCTCAGATCCTTCAAGAATCATATCCACACAGAGCTTTCCTACAGCAAATTAATGCTTAGTATTGATTAAGACCAGCTATGCATATGCATAAGGTATTTGCAAGATGAGGACCACGGCAGTCTCCAGAGCCCAGGGGATTTAATACATGTAGTACCAGAAACAGAATGTAGCTATGGGCCTTGCACCAACTTGCTGAACAAGCTGTGCAGGAATAAAATGCACCAGTGATGCCAATCATCTATGATAATACAAGTTTCAGTGTAACTAGACACAGATTACAGTTTTGGGAAGCTTCTGCTCAAAGTAACACCTTAAATTTTATTTTTAAATGCTGCTGAATGATAGGTGTATTCCCTGCGAACACACTGTAAAATAATTACGAACACAAGCCCTCCCACAGAACAATTCAGAGACTCTCACTGTCAAATTCAAGCATCACCCTGTAGTTAAATTTGGACAGTCTTTCCAGCCTCTCTCCAGCTGCACCTCTGGGCTTTCTCTATTTCTCCACACACAAGGGGCAGCCCCTTGGGGGGAGGGAGGAAGGTGTCCACAAAATTAAGCTAGAATTTAAATCTAATCCAAGAAATTTTTCAACCTGGAAGGGAAAAAAAAAATATCTATTTTTCTGTGTATGACAAAATCATACACAGGTGTTTTATTATTAAAGGAAAACAAAACAGCTTTCATTAGGGAGAAGTCAATTATCTTGAAATGTTTTTATTTTGTTGCCCTTATAAATACAAGCACCACAAAATCCTTCACATATTGAAGTCAGTGGGAATTTTGCCATGTGGCTTCATTAGGACCAGGATTTCCTTGTAATTGTGATTGTTGGCAAGTGTGACCAATCCTTCACTGAAGGAAAAAAAGTTACTGAAAACAACAGCTTCAAATCAAAGTCCTGATCTTGCA